TCCACAGTAAAAGTGGCAGTCAATAGATTCTCGCTAGCGGTGGCCGATTTAAATTCAGCGCTGTGAAGAAGTTGGCGGTCTCCAAGGAAGGCGGTGTCGTTTCTTGTGGGAGAAGCTGATGCTTGACGGGAACAGTCTATGATCTGGGCTGAGTTTGAGTAGGCGTTCTCCTCGCTCTAAAGGATGTGCCTGAGAAGTTTACTTCACTATTAAAATCGCTCTTTACTAATACCCGGAGCCGAGTCCGGGCTTATGGTACTTTTTCATCCAAGTTCACCACGGAAAGTGGTGTTCGACAGGGTTGTCCTCTCTCTCCGTTTCTATTTATCTTCGTGATGGATTTAATTCTTGAAAGAGCCCTATTCTCGTGCGAGGATAGGAGTATCGATTTACTCTCAGGTGACAGACGATATTGTGCCTCTAAGTGAAGATTCGGGTAAGTTGCAAGCTTTTCTGGATAGTTTGAATGCTATTGTTGCCATGTTCGGTATGCGCTTTGCACCTTCAAAGTGTTAAATGCTGCTCCAAGATTGGGTTGGTCCAGCACCTAGTCTCACCCTGACTGGGTAAGTGGTAGGGGAAGTAGACAAGTTTTGCTATCTAAGCAGCTATATCTCACCTGGCGGATGCATCACAGATGAAGTGTCGGCGTGCATACAAAAGGCTCAATTGGCAGTTGCCAACTTGAGACATCTGTGGCGCCGTCGTGATATCCGGCTGTCTGTGAAGGGTTGAGTATATGCTACAGCAGTTCGGCCCGTTCTGCTCTACGATGCAGAGACTTGGTCACTGCGGAAACAGGATAAAAATAGATTGTCGGTGTTCAAACATCGCTGTCTACGTCGCATTGCACGAGTCTAGTGGGTTAACCGGACGAGCAATGGTGAAGTTAGGCGTAGAGTTTTAGGTGGTTGCGGTCGTCCACTGGAGCAAGTGGTCGACGTCCATAGATTACGCTGGTTGGGGCATGTGTTACGCATGTCACCAGATAGGTTGTCGCGGTGAGCGATGTTTGCCGAGGCAGTAGCAGTTGGAAAAGAGTCAAGGCTGATCAAGCGAAGACATGGTATGAGGTTATGAAAATCCTTACCAGGGGACTAGGTCACATAGGCCCCGTTAGACTCCTTGGCTAGGGACCTCGGGATGATGGCCACCAATGATTAGATACACTGAGTGATATGGCGGGATGTCGCAAACAGTGGCGCTCGTGCATCCACTCATTATCCCCCTAACACCATTCTATACGAATCCTGCATCTTCCGCTTGAATTTGCTTTCAACATTCCGACGAATAAGCATCGAAGCTTCGTTCTGTTTCTGTTGACGCGTTCTGAACCATCCTTACGTACAGCGCGAAGTCAGCTACTAACTGGGATCCAGTCTAGAAATGAACACAGCGCAATCTCGACACCAGGAATACCGAGAGTTTCGGATGCCAACTGACCTGAGATACGGAGAGTGAACCGTGAGGATGAAGCTGGTGCTGGAGATCGCAACGTAATGATTGAAGTAGGGTCTTATATGCGTGTTTCGGAGACAGCATACATCACACGACTTCAAGGTGCAGTCTCGTGATGGAGATCGTTGCCAAATAACACTGTAAGTGGTTTACCAGTAGATAAAGTGCAGATTCTGAAGCCTCGTCAAATTCTGAACCTGGAGGCATTCGACGCCTCCGAAAGCCGCAGTATGGTCGGAGGGAGTGTTTCGGGTTGCGGCTGATCTCCCCTCTGTTGCACCTCGTGAAATGCTCCTGTGCGACCAAGCGTCTCAAATACCTTCTACTGAGGAAGCCCTACTCAACGCCTTCTCGTGGCAGGAGTGTTTTCCCACCAAAGTGAGAGGACGAATAGCGGATATCCGGGGCTATAACCGGGTTGGTGAACCACTGGCAGTCCATCTAAGAGAGTCAGCTAAAAACCTGGTTCCAAACCCACCAACAGGTGTATTAACCCTACACCTTTTTGGTCCTGGTAGCGGTCACCGGCTCGATTGGGTATCGAGGTGTATTGGGCACCTTGGACGTTTGCCCCCGTTCAAAGGGCGTATGATCCAATGAAGGAGGCATCGGCCCCCAATGGATTTTGGTTTTAACACATCGCCCCCCTTGTGGGTCTGGCTTTGGCTAACCGAAGGCTCCGGTTGTGAACTCCAAGAAAATTCGCCTACCTTGGCCTGGGCAACCTGTCAGTATTCAGCCCATATGCAAATCGTCGAACGTCTTTCTTTTTATAAAGATTATTGAATCATGATTTGTTCGGCACACAGTCTAGAGTCAGACGTTAAATATAAATATACATAAAGCCTTCGACGTGGGAACTGATGCTGAAAAATCGCCCTAATAGCTAGTTAACTCGAGGTAACCTCTGCATTAGGAATAGTGAAGAACTGTTTCACCTGGTACACAATACCGGAGGTCGTCGCATACTGGTTTGTAAAACCATTTTCGATTAAAGTGGGCAGCGTATTCATGACGCAAGAAGACCAAAATATTTTGGTGGACAGTTCACTTGGCCTGGTGCCAGTTCGTTTATTCCGGCGATTGCAGCGGAAATATATGGCGGTAATATATGATCCTCCAAGGAAGTTAGAAGTACCAGGCTGTATTCAGTCGTTAAAGAAAGAGAAGGCAGCGGGGCCTAATGGGTTTCTATCCATTCTTTCCGAGCTGAGTGGATTTGTGTGTGGGAGGGGGGGGGTGATCCTGTCGTCGACTCAAACACTCGTTTACTTTGCAGCGTTGGGTTTGGAGGAGCGTATCTCCTTATCCTGGGGCGAGTCGCCCATAAACCCAATCTTCGAGAAGGGTTTACGCGGACTGTGCAGAGCACCCCGGAATAAGTTTACTTCCGATCAGCACAAATGATAACTTCCTTGATACTTCGTCACCTGACATCTTTAAGAGAGACTGATAAGGTCGAATTCCAGTCGCGACGCTAATGCACAGTAATGTTAGGGACCCGTTAACCAACAGAAGAAATCAGGACACAAGACAGCTTGCTAATTTGAACTGGGTTAACGGCTTAATGAATGATCTTGAGAATACATCAAACGATTCAACGACGGCCTAAAACGAGGCCAATCTGTCTCACGGACAAAACGGCCTGGAGGGGTATGGGTCAGTGTCTGTCATGAACAACTATAACATGATTGAACAATCATTAGGAACTAATGCAAGAATGCGTACAAAACAGAGATGAATATCCGGGAACGAAAAGCAAGATTCCGACCCGGTTGCATCTGCATAAACCAAATCTATACTCAGCGTGAGGTCCTCGAATTACGGCATACAGATCGTCGACCAAGAATAGCAGTGTTACCTGAACTAAAAGAAACCTTTGATTCAGTTGACTGTGAATGCACTGCTTCGTAAAGGAATATCAGAGAAGTGGGTAAAGTTGTTGCGATGGCTGTACTTACATACCACTGGTAGCGTAAAGGTCTACGGTGGGCTATGCAAATCGTTCCAAATCAGGAGCCTTGTTCGTCAAGGGCGCCCTATTTCGCCATTCCTGTTCAGTTTCGTCGTGGACGAAATGCTGGAGAACGCACTTAGTGGTCTCCGAAATCTTGGTATTGAATGGACAACTGGAGAAAAGTTGTGCGATTAGATTACACTGACACAACCTGTCTGTTCGAATGTATGAAGGATGCGCAAAGCACCCTCGACAGACTTTCGAGTTCTGTAACTCCATTTGGTGTGCGCTTTGCACCTTCAAAGTGCAGTGATGCTGCAAGATTGGGTATCGTCTATCCCAGCTCTGATGCTTGATAGTCCAGACTAATTTATAGTGAATTGTTTCTCCTACTTTGGTTTTTGCGTGACACATGATGGTAGCATAGTTAATGAAGTAACCGCCCGCATTTCCAAGGCATCAGCGGCGTACGTAGGACTAAAACACCTTTAGTACAAACGTGTTTTTTTGAAACTGAAACCCGCGTATACTGCGCCAGTGTACAATCAGTTCTACTTTATAGTTGCGATGCCCTAAATTTGAGTGGAAGGTATTTGCCGTCTGAAAGTCTTTGACTACCTATGTTTAAGTAGTTTGGTTGGAAAAAACCACGCAGAGGTCAACAAATAACGCGGAAACGATTAGGTAAAGTAGTCTCATGCCCTCCAGGCTGGGGTCTAAAAGACTCCAACTGGTTGGATATGGCAAGGAACTGATACCAGTGACGTTCTTGTCTTTTCTCACTGTTCACTAGACTTAATACCCTTCCATCATGACGAAACTGCACCTTGACGTGGTGTGATGGCTTGTGCACCTCTCTAATCCAACGAGCTACACAAGATGGCTTTTGTCAAGCCGAAGATCTAATCATCCCTGGAAGGTCAAAGGGTAGAAGTCGGACGAAGTCCAGTCTCCCGGTCCTCCAGGTTGGGGGTTCGAATAGAATTTGCGTTTCAGTTAGTAAAAAGTGGTGGAGTAAATGGGTCTCCACTTCGCTTCACCCACTGCCTTGCGGCTAGGTTCTTGTTAGAACTAAAGGCTTTGGTTGAGAACCCTAATCGTTCTCCTGCTTAGTGACTGAATACCCTAGCAGTACCCGTCGATCAAACCCCAATGTATGTGCATTGCGAGTTTGGCAACGATCAGTGAAGTTCGCTTCTCTGTATTTCGCTGTGCGATGATGATGATGAATACCCTTGCCTTAACCATTCCCGATCTTGTCGGAAGCAACTTAATTGCTTATCTTCACTGGTCCCAATTAGCCTTATTACCGTTTCTCACCGGAAATACACTTGCTTTACAGTGAAATTGTATACAAGGAATGTGTATCGTATTCCGTACTGAGATGGCCTACTCTTACTTTTTGAAAAATAAATATTGGTAAAGATTTTACGGAGATAACTGAGAATATAATTGGCCTCACTAACGTGTTGTGGAGTATACATTATAAACAATAATGCCTTTTTGTTCAATCCATCGTTGCAGGAAAAGAATCGTTCGGTGATTCCTTTATCAACAGAACTAAAACCGTCAAAAGTCTTATTTAATGATGCATTCGCTAGAGTTCGAGTACGAGGAACCGATAGAGAAGCGTTTTGAGGATCTTTGTCATGATCTGTGTATTGAAGGAGCCATTCGGGAGGAGGCGTGGGAAAAGTATAAAGGTAATATCTTTCTTTGCCTGATTTGACTTCAGATGTTTGGGCCAACTACTCAATCGATGGTGATCAGCTTCAATGGCTTGTTTGTTCTCTTTATGAATGCTGCCGCCGATCGATCACTGATAGTCTTGCCGGTCACGTTGTAGAAAATGCCTATGTCTCGCTTTCCAGACTTTTGTCGGCCGCCAAAATGAGTATGGTGCAGGTAATAAAGTTTTTTTCTTTAATTTCGTGCAGTTTTTTCACAGAATCCGAAAGTGGGCTGATATGACTGATATGGTGGATGATATGCGTGATCGAGTGGAACTGTTGGAGCGTCAGTTTGCTGTCTCTTCTGTGATTTTTCGAAATTTCGGGCGTTCCTTTGGAGTTTTATTTCAAGAGCCTCGATTCGAAGATAATACAGGTTAGTTGTCAATTTTCGGTCATTTTTCATCATCGTTGGGGTGTTTTCGTTATACACCAGTGATTGTAGTAGTGGTACACTACATAATCTGCACAGTTCATTGAAGAGTGAGAGGAACATACAGGCAAGAACCAGCTGTGTGATTAAAGAATATTATAAGTTGGATGAAAGCCGGGAAGTGTTCCATCATTTTGTTGTTCGTGAGAAAGATGATGCTGATTTGGAAATGTGACACTTATAGATAGTCTCTTAGACCGAATAATATTCGCGTGTGTGCTGCACTTAGAAAGAAGCTCTAGTGGGAGAGGGACGGGATAAGCGAGCTCGATCAAATAAAGTAGAAATTAATACCGTGAAATTGGAGTGAAAGAATGACTGCTCGACAGTAAGCTAGTGACTGCAAATAACAGATGCGAATGACCTTACACCGAACTGAATCAAACGACAGACCTGGAGAAAGTTCCGCCCATACATGAATGTATTATTCACGTTTAGGGGAAGTTTGAGCTCTTCAAATGGACGATATCTGAGAGTGCGCAAATGCCTTGCACCAAGATAAAAACCGGTCCTAAATGCATCAGAAAAAAAGCTTTCTGTTTCAGTATTTTCAGCCAATAACCGTGTACTTTCATGCGCTAATTTTGGTGGCTCTTTAATGACTGCCCATTTGGATGAAGTATTGCATGGTATATTAACATGTTCTGCTTATTGTCAGAGTGAAAATAGTGAATTCATGAAGACTGAGGTTGCAAGGACATGGATTCAAAGCACGAGCGCCATTGTTTACAACACTGTGTCTTGAATCATCGATGTTCGATGATCCCGAAATCCCCATCCAGGAAACCGAACGCGACCTACGTGAACAGGTCTCCTGGTCAGGGTTTCCACATCTTCATGCCAGGTCTTAGTTTAACCACCCTTGGCTTTTTCCACCCACTGCCTATCCCTCAGCAAACGTCGCACGCTGTGGCTATCTGTTTGGTGACACGTGTAACACACCCCCGAGTGACGTAATTTATGGATGTGGACCACTTGCTGCATTAGGTGACCGCGGTTACCTAAAACTCTGCGTCTAACCTTAGCATTGCTCGTCGGTGCATTCGCACTCCAATTATCCGAACAAGCTTGCAATTTCCCCGGGTGTTCATTTATCAGTTGAGTGTTGTCATCATACTCCATATCAGACAGTCTGCCATTTGATAGCAAATTGATGCCTTTATCCTCGTACGCGAGCAAGGCTTTTTCCAGAATCAAGTTTGTAACAAAGGGATGTCTGTTCTAAACTTTGGCGAAGCGTGGAAATGCGATCGATACCGTTTCTACCGAGTTTAAAACAAGTCTGGTTCTCACGCGCGGCGGACAATCGACGGAGTATGATGCCGGCGAAGAGTTTGAAGGCGATGTTTATCAAGGTGACTCCTCTGTTTCTCACAGGAGGCCCTTTTACCTTTGCAGTTGAAACCAATTCCCTCTTTCACTGAATCCAGGTGTTTCGTCAACTCGAAAACAAATGTTGAACCTCCATCTTCAAGACCTTCGGTGTCGATAGCCTCGTAGCTTTTGAGACAACTGATTTCTCGGTTAACTTTCAATTCAGATGGAAGAAGGATTTCAACCGATAGTAGTTACCCTGTTGAAGTAGGTAGGTAGGTAGGTCCAAATAAACTGAGCCTAGATATTTCATGCCCATCGTTGAATACATTGCTGACTGTGGCTCCGTGTTCTGTCAGGCTTTTCAATTATGTTAGGCGTTAGTTCCTTGGGCACTTATTCGTCATTAGAAAGAAAGGCTTGCTAGTTGCCCATAGCCGCAGTTTTTTCCTTTCTGCGATTCACCACTTATCGCGGCCATCCCTCGGACTTTTGATGAGCTCTCATCTAAAGGATCCGCACGCTGTTATATTTGGCATCAGGAAGAATGGTTTCGCGGGCATCCAGTGAAGCAGTTGGAGTTGAGGACGGTCATCGTTTGTGCTCTGATCGTAAGCCAGAATTCACCGTTGTTTTGATCGACATTTGAATTGCTTCCTTGATTAGCATCCAGTGTTCATTGAGTCCTTCAGCGGTTGATCGAACTCAGAAGCGATGAGAGATCTTTATTTTAAAGGTCGATTTACAGCTATTGCCTACATTGTATTTTGGGTGTCCGTTGTTGGTGTCTTTTTTGCGGATATCTACGAAGTATTGGAAAACCAAAGCATCGGTCGTATCCACAGGTATTGACCAGTGAGAGCATCGTTCTTCAGTGGACCCTCGCCAGCTGTAACTGATGACAATGTCGTCCATAGAAGTGAATAAGTAGGGGTCTTCCATGTAAGGTGATGTCGTTTCTTGTGGGAGAATTTGGTTCGCGATAGGAGCAATCTATGATCTGCTCAGGGTTGAAGTAGGTAGTTCCCGTTGTCCGTCCTGTTCGCTGGGATTACGTTCGGGACGCGTGGTTACCTTTCCGATTCGTCCAGAGATCCCAGCGATGTCCGTTGACCGAGTTCAGTTGAGAAAGATCCCTTTAGAATTCATCCCTGGATTTAAGCACACTGCAATCGGTTGGTGCATACACGGATACGATGGATAAACACACGCTTCGTTCTGTGTCTGTTGACCCGCACTGAGCCGTCGACACGTACAGCGCAAAGTTGGCTACTAACCGGGATCCAGTCGAGAACTAAACGCTCGACCTTGACAATTACCGCAATCCCAACACCAGTAACTTCGCGAGACCCAGGTGTCAAATCACCTAACACGCTGAGGGTGAAACGTGAGGTTGAAGTTGGATATGAAGAGGGTAAGATGATGATAGAGGTGGAATCTCGTATGCATGTTACGGAGCCGCAAAGTACATAATCGAAAGTTTCAAGGGTTCTATTCAAAGCAGCTTGTTGGGCAATCTGATAGAGGGTGCACACATTGAATGGAACTAGTCAAACGGAATTTTTTTTATCTAAACAGTGTAACCCTATACGTTTAGCACGCTCCTCCATAATTGAACGCATTTTTCTAATGTTTTCAATAAACACCCTCATTATTTTGCCGTTGTCTCGTGGGACAGACATGTCAACGCATCAACAATGATTATGTGAATAATAAGATCAGATACATAAAAGTGAATTGAACAAGAGGGAAGACAGATGACGGAGAACGGGAAGAACAAATGATCCATTGTTTTGTTAGTTTCACCGTAAACATTTTGATATATTTTGTCTATTGTACAACTATCACATCACTGTCTTCCATTCTGAACCATACTTTCCATCGTCTTTAATCATCGATAGTCCTCATCCCTTGGGCTCTAGCGTGGAAGGCGAGCTGCACTAACTAAAGCCAAAACTGAGACTAACTTCTTCGTATTTCAACGTCACGGCGCTTCTTCCAGTGTTGCCTACCATGCGCAAGGAGAGCACAGATAGGTCGACGGTGGGTAGACATATCTAACACGTGAACAAGCCATATATGATTAACACCAATCTTTACCGATACGGCACAAAAATAATCATGTATTTAAAGGGAATTACGGAACAGAACGAGGGAGAAACCAAAAGCAATCAATTTTGTTTGGGAATGAATAAATTTTTGTTTGTTTTCTGCACTCAATTTTGAATTTCCAATTCGTTTGTTTTGCTTGTGGGATGCCATATCCAGCAGTTTCTCCGACCAATAACAATCTAAATTTTTGGGCCCCAGCCGAGGAACCACGACAGAAGCCAAATCCGAATACTTTCTCTTCAGTCCTTTACGCCACGTCATAGCCTGCTCACCTCGCTGTTTCTTCCATCCCGGACCGATGTCTGCAAATAGCGTACGGCGTTGCAACCAAAAAACGTACAAATCACTCCCAGACCTTCGAGATGTATTAGACACTACTTCTCTATAGGTTTTAGACTCAGGTTTGTCCTGTTGCCTTGCATGTTTGGCTTTTCAATCAAGGTCTTATCGAGACACCAAGGTAAGGCCTCTTCGGCTCGGGCAACCGGGAAATGACATTCTTTCGCAACCCATGAATATCTCATACGTTGTAGGACTTAATTTCGTGTAATGAATTTTATATATCCTTTCCCTTCTATTTTGTTTGAAATCGAATGTTATGTTGGTAGTGAAGGACGATTGTAACTTAATTCTGTCACAGGAAATCCGACCACCACCGATTTGTTCCGATTGACGTGGCTATTGTTCATCAAGTCGCGTGCCGGTTTCCCCGCGGTGACCGATGACTTGGTTAACTCATATCATCTTTTGGCGTGCTGCTTGGACTGGATATTGGGTGCTGTCATGGTCTCGCGACGTTCTGACATGATTAATTTGGAGCTAACTGGTCTTCCGAAGGATTTTCTGTCGGCGGCCAGTCAGAAGAAAACATGGTGTCCGCCCCATGAGCTGCCGCCCTGCATGCTGCGTCTCATATGTGAAGACAATGAAGTGAATTATGTGGAATGCAAAACGGTTAAGGAGCATTTCTTCAAACCCTTCATGATGCGACTGATTGAAAAGGTAGATGCTTGTTAATGCGTTTGATATCTTATGTTGACAGATCTTTTGAGTCTTTGATTTTTTGTTGTCTTTATGGGTCACTCTTTTCCCCCAGAATTTACACCTCCCTCACACTCCTTGTTTGATTTTTTGTCGATTCAAATAGAGGGGAAAAAAATCAAGGGTGGTCTAACCAAGACCTGGCAAGGGAGTATTAAAGTTTCGACCAGGGAATTGGTTATACCAGTCCCGTTAGGATCCCCATTTGGGTTCCTCTGGATCAGTCTAATCGCTCTTAGGAGACTCTAAATGGATAACAGCTTTCTTCAACGTCGATTTCTTCGCAACCCTAGCTTACATGAAATTTCTATCTTCAAATTGATAATGCTTCCGGCATTCTGGTTCTCTCTACTCCGTCATCCAAATGGGAAGGCAAAAGTCAGCAACTTAAACCGCGGCACGAAACCAAACATACATGCACCCTTTTGTCATATAAAGGTAAGCGTGCCCTCGTATCCTCTGTCTTAAAATACTTATTTCTGTTTGTTCTCGCAGCTTCCCAACTTTTTATGATCAAAGTAGGTAGCAACGTCAATCCGACCTTGCAAAAAGCGTTCGGAATCTAGATTGTTTCTTATTACTCATACTGAGATTAGCTGTCAGATGTCCTTTTGAATGAACATGTGCTAATCGGCTTCTCTGTCTTCCGGCTCTATGCCACACCTAACCCAGCGGTACACTGTGGGGTTCGCTACTCCCAGTCCCGGAGCTTTGGTAACCGGTTTCTACAAATGAATAATGAATCCTCGTGACTATGGGGTTTATCCGTCTGTTGTTCATCATCCAACGGTGTTATAATGAACACCACGCCACCATTACAACAATGTCTAATTGTTGAATGCGTATCCACCGGCCCCGTTAGGATTCGAACTGCAGATATCTAATACCGATTGAAGACCAAAGCATGATCCAACGAGGAGTGGTTTCGACCACCATTGTTGGTGGCAACCGTTTGCACACAGTGCCGCGATTATCATTCTCTGTGCTCTAAAATTTTCGCCAAGAGCAAAAAGTACTTATTTCAGTATTTACAACCAATAACCACGCGCTAATTTTGGTGGCTCTTTAATGACTGCCCATTTGGATGAAGTATTGCATGGTATATTAACATGTTCTGCTTATTGTCAGAGTGAAAATAGTGAATTCATGAAGACTGAGGTTGCAAGGACATGGATTCAAAGCACGAGCGCCATTGTTTACAACACTGTGTCTTGAATCATCGATG